AGATCACTGTGTAACTTCCCTGAGCCTTGGTTTCCTCATCTGTGAAGCAGGAATGTGATCCAGTTCATTGTTCTGGAAGGATGGGACATACTCGACACCCACACTGACATGAGGGCAGAAGATTCCTCACACTTGTGGGTCACTTTCACTTTGCCAGCAGCAGCAGGAAATAGAAGCATGTGTGTGTCAGAGAGGCACAAAATCCCAGCCGAGCGCAGACAGGGCTCTGACCAGAGAAGTTTCTGGCTGTTATTTCTGACTTTCTCTAAGATTTGCTGTGTTGCACAAAACAGAATTCCCCACACGGCTTCTCCTTGATAAGGTAGGTCTATATTTCTTGAGCCAGTTACCTAACATGTCAGAGACCGAGTTTCTTCATCCCTAAAATCGGAATAACAACTGCCTCACACGGTATTACAATGATTCAATACAAGAATGTGTGTCCAGGAAATGAAGGTAATTTTTGTTTTGCTCCCCACTATGTGTTTGGGGAATCCTGGAGGTTCATGGATTCCAAGGCCTATGGGAGCTGGAGGCTTGGCTGAGGTTTAACTCAAATCAGATTTAACTGCCTCAGATTTAACTCAAGGCAGGTTCAAGACAGCTCTGCACTGAACTGATGATTATCTGTGGGAGCCTAGCGCCTATCAAGTGTAAAATGCCTGGGCTGGATGCTGTGGCAGCTGGGACGGTGACTGGATGGGTGAAAGATAAAGGATGCCGGAGCCCAGCCTGGAGGAACCTTCCTTCCAGTAGGGAAGGCGGCCAGGTGAATGAACCCTTTTGTGTAATGTGAAGTATGATGAGTTTAGCACTTAATGGAGATGTGGGTCCAGCATAAGAGGTAGTGAAATCCACAGAAGGGGGTGGGGTAGCCTGGGGTGGGTCAGGATAGGCTTTGCCAGGGAGACAGCAGCATTCGATCTGGACCTTGAAGGAAAAGTTTAATGTTTCCCAGAGTCAGGGAACAGTAAGAGCAGAGAGAAGTGACAGAAGCTTGGGGACCTCTCACCTCTGTCTCAGAGCTGTGGTGATGCTCGAAATAGAAGAACAGATGTGGACCTGCCTTCAAAGACCTGACAGCCCAGTACAAACAAATGTGAGACAGGATGGGCCTAATCTCATCCCTGGGCAATCCCAGCGCCATGGGCGCTACTCCTGCTCCCTTTGACCTCCCCCACCTGCCCCAGTAGCTTAGCACTTGGGGGGATGTTAACAACAAGCATACGTGTCCCTCGAGTAGACACAAAAGAGGAGGGGATGTGTGGACGTGAAAAATAGCCATGGGAAGATTAGAAGGTAAGACAGAAATAAAAATAGCTGTTGTGTTAAGGCTGCTAATCTTTTATTGGCTTACACCACTGTCTTCTTACATTTTTTATTAAAAAAAAAACTTTCATCCAAAGTAAGCCTCATAGATCTATATACATGACTATAAAAAGATAGTCAATGTATTTTGTGAAAAAAGCAAGTTATAGATTATCATGGTCATGCGATCCCATCTGGGTCCACGGACACACTGGCTTTACTTCAAAAAGTTCTAAAAGGCAACAGAAGAAAATGATCATCAAAGTCTACCTGTGGGTGTGAGACGTGGAGGAAAGGCAGAGGGAGTTCTTTTTACTTTAACTCTTCATAACTTCATGATATTTGTCATGCATCACTTCTATAATATTTTTATATANACTATGTGTCTCAAGTACCATTTTGAAGAAGTGATCTTGGATCCAGTTGTACATTCTAAACAAATTGGGGCACTTTAAAAAATACAGATGCCAGAGCTCCACCTCGGACCTTCTAAATCTGAATCCCTGGTAGGTATGCAGGTGTGTGTTTGTTTTACATCTCTTCTGTGATTCAGATGTACTGCCCAGGATGAAAACCACTGTGCTACATGTTTCACTCATAATCTCTTCAACCCTCTAGAATCAGGAGAGAACTAAATTGAAATCCTGGCCTGATAAGGTAGGTGGTATGTTCTCCATTTCACAGATGAGAAAATCAAGGCACAGGGAGGTAAAGTAACTTGCCCAAGGCCACACAGGCAATTAGTAGTCAAGCTGGGATTCAAACCCAGGTTTGACCCCTGCGCTTGAGGGACAAATTCTAGGCTGTGTACTGGAGTGGGGTGGTTCAGCTACCCAAAGAGACTGCCCAACCACAGACCTTCCTAGAGGATAGCAGCACTAGGAACCAGAGGACTTGTGAGGCAGGCGGAGATGCCGTGGAGCCAGGCCAGCTTAGCCAGGGTCTGGCAGTACTTCCTGACCAGCAGGAAGCTAGCTGACATTTTCTCAGAGACATGTGTGGATTCCAAGAATGATCCTATGTCAGGGTTCAGACGAGGCATCAGAAAAAATTTTACGACCCCAAACTCTGGAAACGCTGCAAACTTGGCTGGCTTTGAAGATGCTTTATAAAATCTCTTTCTCTAAGATAACAATTCTCAACTTTCCTAATGCCGTGACCCCTTAATACAGTTCCTCATGTTGTGGTGACCCCCAATCATAAAATTATCTTCATTGCTACTCTATAACTGTAATTTTGCTACTGTTATGAATCGT